ATGTATAACAACATACATGTACAACAACATACTCACATGTATAACAACATAGTGAATAAGCATGACAGAAAAAGAATTGTTGCCTTTGAGCTGTGGTGTTTGAGAAGAGCACTGAACGTTCTGTGGACGGCCAAGAGAATGAACCGGTGTGTCTTGGAGAGGTTGCAGCCGAGTGCACTTTGGAGGCAAGAATGATGAGGCTTCGCCTCCCATTCTTTGGACATGTTACTAGGAGGTGCTATTCCTTGGAGAGGTGCATAATGTTGGGAAGCGTGGAAAGTCGACGAAGGAGAAGACGACCCTCAACCAGGTGGATCAACATGGTGACTGCTGCAATGGGCTCTTGTGTGTCAGGAAGTGTGAGGATGGTGCAGGACAGGACAGGGTTCAAACCTTTGTTCATAGGGTCACTATGATTTGTGCTTGACTCAAGGGCACCTAACAACAACAAGAGCTTTCCAGTTGAGCAGTTGGTAGATGCCTTTGGGATCGCAGTGAAGCTTCTGACCACCAGAGGGTTTAGGATTCCAACATAAAATTTGGAGAAACAGAATTCAATTCATAAACCCACTTTTTTTTAAAAAAAGAAAAAGATTTGCTTTTTTTTTTTAAGTTTTTTATTATTTTGTGTTTGTGTACCATCAAATCGGATCTGACTGGTTCAGGAGGAGATTGTCCCTCCTTCTCCAGCACAGCATCTGGTGGATTCGAACCGCACACCTCTGAGACTGTAGTGCAGCGAAACGTATTTACCATTTTTTACACTTTTTAAACTCTTCTCAAGTCAGTCACAAAGAAAGCATGTATTGTATCAGACTGCTCTTAAAGTGAAAGGAAAATAAATTTTTCTTTAAAAGCGAAAGAAAGGTTTATGCACAGAATCATTCTTGGATGGTTACCAGTGATGGAAAGGAAGGAGTAGATATTAATAAATAACATAGTTAGGGAAAGAAAGGCAGTACACAGGGAGGAAGTTACTATTATGTTGTCAAGTCAGAACAGACTCATAGCTGACCCTCTAAGCGGGTTTAGAGGCTTTAAATTGCATGGGAGGAAATTTCCCATCATTGTCCTTGAGGAGCAGCTGGTATATTCAAACCACTTGTCCTTGCTTTGGCAATACAACTTCTTACCACCGAGCCACAAGAGCTCCCGAAGAGGTTGGTTTGTTGTTGTTGTTATGTGCCGTCGAGTCGTTTGCGACTCATAGTGACCCTATGTACAACAGCCCTAAACTGTGCTCTATCCTGTGCCAATCTCATTACCTCTGACACACCCATCCCGATTACCCCAGTTACTGAATCAATCCACCTCATAGAGGGTCTTCCCCTCCTGTGCTGTCCCTCTACTCTACCCAGCATGAT